TAACTTAGTGACGGCTAGCGCAGAAAGGTCTCGAGTAACTTTGCGCGAAGTCAACAAACAAACAAAATAGTGTTCCAGGAATCTACAATATCTTCTACAGCCATCGTCCCCCCAGTGGCACAGCAGTATATCTGCGGTCTTACAACACCAGAAACCGGGTTTTGTTATATGTGGTGGGCAGAGCACAGAAAGCCCATTGTGTAGCTTTGTGCTTAACTTGAAACTAACAAGTCTAGAACAATCTACATATTATGGTTCGTTTGTTCATTATGTTTAAAACTTCTTCCTTATGATCTTAGAGTCCTCACTATTTTCTCAGTTTCTAGTTGGGCTCCTTCACTTTGATGCGTTCTCATCATAAACTAAATATAATCATATTTTTACTGGATTATTTGGGGGTCATTAGATTAGTTGCAAATCTTTTTTTGAAATTAAAAGTTGAAGTTTACTGGAATAATAAAAATAAATAAAGTAGTATAAACTCACCCGTAAAATCGTTCCTACATCCCATACAACAATTCTACTCAAGCCCCTGGACACGGCAAACAAAAAAAAATGCCCATGGGATACAGGTCATTTTTATGATTGGTTAAGGATATAAAATCCCATAGTTTTCTATAACTGTATTAGCTAGGTCCCCCAGTGGCATATTAACTAGAAGTAAATTATTCAAACCAAACCAAATATGATTTTATAACAGTCGCATAAAAATGGAAAGGAAAGGTTTTACTGAGAATACCATGCCGAAACATATGTAGCAAATATTTGAAGCACTAGACATGGAACTCGATAACTAACTTCTTAACAAGCTCTGAACTCCAGCTGGCAATTGCGTTATCTCTTCTAACTGAACTCAACTGTAGCTCTTTTCTTTGGATACGGGTCTCCTCAGTGAGTCTTGGTCTTGAATAACTTTTAGAAGCTTACTTATATAATATTGTGGTTTTAAGGGATATTTTCGAAAACCATAACTAGAAGTTCTAGAAAGTTCTCGATCAACCTAATTAGGAATGTGTGCCAATAAAATAAAACCACGTCAAGTAGTAATGCCTGTTGCTATTTTAGTCAAATTTTCACATACAATAAAAAAATAGTTAACGAATGCTTAAGTTGCGAGACAGCCCAATGTTTTAACATTATTACATAAATAAATAAAAAATATATAATTGTCAACTTTTAACACAATGCTCTACAGTAGGAAAATATTTCATAACTGGATAAGACAGCATTCTAATCCAAAGAAAGCTTTATGAAATTCGTACCTTCGTTCACATAATGCATACATAAAATAATGATTGTGAGCAATAAGCCTCATTCTACTATCACAGTTATGCATATTATTCAACGGAATTCACCGTACTATTTGAAATATAGGCTCATTCTTCTTATCATAGACCAGTAAACTTTAGAACCCAAAGAGCTCTTTTCGATATAAACTCACAATTTAGTTTTAAAAAAATTAAAGACTGAAAACGAAAAAAAAACATATTATTTCTGTTTAAGTAGAGTATATCACACTTAATTATTGCACGATGTATCTGTCACTAGGCAATTTGTGACGTCAGTAATTCTGTCAGTAGTTTTGTAACCCCGTACTAAGGGGCATAACCTTACTGGCCGGCTTACTCTGTGGAGAGTAGGAATAGTCGTTTGGTTCATATAAGTACGTACACGAAAAGTATTTTATCGTTAAAATTTGTATACCTAAACTGTTTTAACTAACTGTGAAATTAGTTTGCTTTTGTACTGTAGGTTTATTTTCATGTGCGTTGTTAATGTTTTTTAATTTTGGAGGCTGAACATCAGGTTTATTTAGCCTAATATTTCTTTTGCCGCCATTTTGCAGGCTTAAGTTGTTTCATAGAGGAGTATTTCTTCGATTTATAGGTTATATCCTCTATGATTTCAGCATAAAATACTTCCAAAATGGATAAAGACGAGCTGGTACAGCGGGCCAAGCTTGCAGAGCAGGCCGAGAGGTATGATGATATGGCAGCAGCTATGAAACAAGTTACAGAAATGGGCGTGGAACTAAGCAATGAAGAAAGGAATTTGCTGTCGGTAGCTTACAAGAACGTTGTTGGAGCAAGGCGAAGTTCATGGAGGGTTATTTCAAGTATAGAGCAGAAAACTGAAGGAAGTGAAAGGAAGCAGCAAATGGCCAAAGAATACCGCGAAAAGGTTGAAAAAGAGTTAAAGGAAATATGTTACGATGTTTTGGTAAGGGTTAAGTTCTAGAACTAGTTGTAATACCATATTAGTATTACTATTAGAAAATTAACACCTTAATACTAGTACTACTACTATTAAGTATTCTAAGTGAAAGTAAAGAACTTTTTAAGAAGAATGTGTCATTTGTCAGCCACACTACATCTGCCATATCCAGTGGCAATGAGGCTATTTTCTCAATACCATTACCAAACCTGCCCGAATTGAATATGACCTAGTCACATAATACATTACTCATTAGTAGTACTGATACTAATAGTGATCTAGGCACTATTTATATAATTAAATTTCGTGAACAATGACTGTTATGGCGAGAACTGTAATTATTATCAATTTCATATTTACAAATAATGTAGTATCACTATTACTTTTGTTAATAATCGTGTAGTACGGCAAGTAAGCATATCACTGTCAACCCTACACATGCCCTATTCACATTTGTGTAACAGCCCATTGCAAAAAATACTATTACCTTTAATATTTCATGGAATTTTAAAATAATTATTAGTAAGCAGCATAAAATACATACATTATTAGTAGGTGCTGATGAAGCTTTTGTCCAATACCAGTGCTCATCAGTAATATGATTCCATAACTAAATGACACTGACAACAAGAACCCCTGTTTAGTCTCAAGATTTGTTGAGGCACTGTGAAATATCATATATTTTACTTTGTTGTATAACAAAACACCAGGTTTTAGATGATATATTTATAACTTCATCAGCTGCATAAACTTGAAAATGGTTTTAAAAAAGGCTGGTAGATGATTTTTACAATTATTAACATCTAAAATTCAACGTTTTCAAACTATCTGAGCTAAAAATAAGCCTCAAATTAATGGAAAGGCTTTAGTTTTGAGGCTTTGGTTTCTGTACTGACAAGTTGTTTCTGTATGTGTGAGAGATTTAACTATTTCTACCATAATAATTATAACAGGAGGCCAAAAATCAACAGTTAGGACTAGCAGCTTTTTTTATTATTTCATCTAAAACAAATGTTAAAGTTACACAAAAAAATTTAAATCTTAACATTTTAGGTATATGGGGGTACATCACAAGCAATTTTTAAAAATTTGATGTCATTTTACCCCCTGTAAATGCCCACTCTGCATAGATTTAAATGGCTTAAGCCAAGAATCATTTCTGTCAGTCTATCATGCACTTTCAACATTTGATATCTTTACACACTACTCCATATGAGGCCTCACTTGAGTTTTGTACAGTGCTACAATCTTTTTGTTCTTAAATTTAAAAATCGTATAAAAAAAAACTAAAAAAACTTGGCCACAGCTAAATTCTCATCAGAAGTATTGGGATTCTAACGAAACTCTTGATGTTATGTTTTTACACAGTACTAATGCTTTCACACAAAAAGCAATTTTTTTTAAACTTTCTTAATTAGCTACAATGTATAACCTAAATCTTATCTTTACTAAACCTTATTGTACAAACACTAATCCTTTAATTGAAACTGTTAACCATCTTATGTGTATATGTATATATATACACGAGAATCATTCTCAATGGAATCGGGTCTTTCCAACAATTTAGAAAAGAAAATTGAGACATACCAATGTCCTAAAATATATCCAAGTCATGAAACTGAATAATAGTGACAAAAGCTGTAAAACAGACCCTTGAGGGACCTTTCCACTATTCACATTTTTTTAGCCAGGTCCCCATTGGCTCAGCAGTGAGTCTGAGAGCCTATAACACTAAAAAACTGGGTATCGACACCAGTGGTGGGCACAACACAGATAATCCATTGTGTAGTTTTCATATGTTCATAGGCTCTGACTTTTAAATGGCGTTTGGTTTTGCCAATATAGGAGGCCTTACAGTCTCCACACGTGTACTTGGCTTGTCTATTTTTACACGTGTGGAGACTGTAAGGCCTCCTATATTGGCAAAACCAAATGCCATTTAAAAGTCAGAGCCTATGAACATATGGGAATTTCCATTAAAACGCAAAAAAAAAATTGTGTAGTTTTGTGCTTAATAATAAACAAAAGATTGTAGCCACTCTTTACTTTATACCTCTTAGCAAGTTTTCAATCTTCTTGACTTTTCTACTAATCCAATAAGCATCCAACTTGCTAATCAATATTTGTGTTGTCTCTTATCAAACATCTTCTGATAGTCAGGGTGTAATCAAAATATGCCATTTGGGATACACTCGTGCAGAAAAGAGATAGTAGTTGTAAAAAAATTCTAATGAATTGATAAGGTAAGCAAAGCCTTTTTTCTGCAACCATGCCGAGAATTACTTATTAACTACATCCAAAGCTTGGAGCACCCTTCAGATTTTGAGTATACCTCTACATATGACATTTAAAATTTGATTGAAAATAATAATTAACTGTTTCAAGAATTTTTTAATCATGAATATATTAGAATAGATATTTTGTTATTATGTGACTTTTATTTTATTTGGAAAGAAATATGAAAAAAATGTTTCATTTCTGAACAGCTCCAAGGACTTTTGATATATACATGTTTTGACTTTTTATTTTTTCTTCTTTCCATCCCAAAGTACAGGTTTATATTTGATAAGAAACTATCATCACTACGAAGTACAATGACTTGTTTCTCATTTAGTTTTAGTAATAGTCTTTCATTGCCACCTGTTTATGATGTAGTTATACAACTACTTATAAAACTCATTTTGAGAATAGTTCAAGCCAGTGACTAAATACTATTTGATAGAGCAAATTACAAACTGTGCATGTAAATGTAGTATAAATAGTGGTTTGGAGAGTATTGTATAGTTTTTTCAAGGTACTTCTCACCTAGAATTCCTGTAGAGGTGAATAAATGAAAGTTTAGGAGATATAGGAACAAACCACAGATCTAAGAATTTCATACTTTCTTTAGACATTCTTTTGTTCCTGAAAATGTTTGTGTTAAATTGTGTGTTTGAAAGCTATAAATGTATTTCTTTGACATCAGGTAAGCTTAGTTTCATTTAACAAGTTCAATAAGTGGTGGTGATAGTTGAATGACACACACATTCTTAGTTAATGAATGTTATATTTATTGTATTGAAACTGCTGTCAAAAGAACTTATTATATATTGAAAAGAACTAGATATAAATTGGTATCACTTGTTTGACAAAATTGATTCCGAGCCTGACAAAGTAATAACGTTATTTTGAAAGGTGAGTCATGCTCACAGATTTTTATAATTTACAGTCAGAAGTAGTGATTTCTGCTATTAGGAAACTAAAGTATCAAAAGAAATGTTTATGATTATGTAAATGTAACTTATCAAGAATAAAAATTAAAATAAAACTATGATGAAGAAAGTATTTTAAATGTTTTTTTCACAACAGTGCCTCACAATAGAATTTTGGATAGTTCACAACTTCATTTTATTAGTTATACTATGAGATAAGACTTTCAATATAATATTTGCCATATAACTTCCATTTCATGTTGTAATTCAAGATATTCATATTTGTTCTGCCTTTGAAGATCTCAATATTTGACAGTGTTTAAAAGAATTGCACAGTCTCTTTTAAAATACATAACGATTAATTCAGTTGAGTTTTCATTCATCGAGTATTTGATACATCTTTGTGTTGCAGGGTCTATTAGACAAGTTCTTGATTCCCAAAGCAAGTAATGCAGAAAGCAAAGTATTTTATCTGAAGATGAAGGGAGACTATTACAGGTACCTGGCTGAAGTTGCGACAGGGGATCAGAGAAATAGTAAGTTAAGACTACCATTTTGTATGATCATGATTTTCCAATTGCTTCTGATGTAAAGTTACCTTTTTTTTACCTGAAGACTTCTCTGAATGGATAGCTGTATTATGTCTTCTAGTACAATAATTCTCTAGTACAATCTTGACTGTCAAGCAAGGACAGTTTACAATTTAATGTTTCTTTTGTTATTCGTGTAAATCAAGTAAATGTAAAAAAAAAAAAATGGTTTAGGTCAGTGTCTCTCTTTTTCTTTCATATTGAGCCTCAGTACTTTTGTTGCTTGTCCAAGGGCCTCTTCATTAATTCAGAAGACTACAGGTAGTGAAAGAGCATAATGAACAGGAGACTTGTGGCATTTATAACAATGTTAAAATAAGACAAGTATTTACTCGTCAGTTAGTTAGTGAGAAATTTGCTTAACATTTCATATCATAATATATATGTTTTGTGTATGCAGGATGTCCACTAATTTTTAAAATAATTTTGAAATCATACTAGGAAAAATGTTTATAGAGACATGATTTGTTGCACATGTAAAAGTAATGTTAAAAGTTTTTCAAAGCAATGATAAATATTATTTCATCAGGATGATACCCCTCCACACTAGAGCCTTAGCCTTTGAAAAACACATTTGATTAAACACTTCCCAGTCATTCAAATGAATTGGGCAGGGAGGCCTGGTCTGCTTAGCCCTGCATTCTTCAGACATTATGCATATGTTGTTGTTTTTGTGAGGCTTTATAAAGAACATGGTTTATTTAATAAGGTTGTGAGTAAGGATGAATTGTGTTTACATATCCAATATGCTTTCACAAAGGTTATTCCTGCAAAGTTGCTAATCACTTGGCAGGAGATTGGGTACAGACTGGACATTTTGCGTGTAACTTGTGGCACACATATTGACCTATAGTGATTGTATGCTATAAAAACAAACTTTTAAACCTTTTTTTGTATATGTAACAGCCCATGTGTATGTTAAATAGTTTTCCTGGTATGATTTTTCAAGTGTTTCCATAGTTCTTGAACACCCTGTTTGTATGGTGCCACTTTGCAAGACTCCAGGATCTGTTTAGTATCACCCTTTAACAAGTATGTAGTGTTGAGGCCTACATTGAAGACATTTTTATCTAAGAACTTCTAATCCTGAACATTCTTTTAAACATAGCCAGTAACAATCTTCTAACAAAAAAGTGAATACAAACCAGTTTACCTTAAACATACTAGCACTACATTTTGACTATATACCATTGGGGGAACATCAGTCTAACAAATTAATATCTAACTATCATTCTCCACAGCAAAAAAAATCAGCAAGTCTAGCAGGTTAGTTTTTCAACTATACATTGCTATAGGTTGCTCATTAGTCAGACTGGTAAGTCTCGACTGCCAAAAGTTTAGCTTAAGTTTCATTTAAAGCGGTATAAACAAAGAATTTGGCCAAGCCTTAATGTTACAAATGACATTGTTGCACATAAAACTGCTAATAATTTTTAACCTTACTGTACAAAACTGAGATAAGAGCAAAGTGTTAATAATTATTGGTTGCACTGTGATATTTAAGAGCATTTTCTAGCTTAAATATCTAAACACATGAATAAGTATTTCAGCCAAGATTTAATCATTGAGAGCTTACAAGTTAATGATTCATAGTAATGACTTAGACAACGTAAGAAAAATTAATATTTCAATCACCAATATAGTATTTTAAGATAAGTAGTACTACCCACTGTTGTATAAAATCACCTACATATCACCATTACAAAAACTCGTATTATATTTATACTTAATTTTACTACAAAATATATTGCACATGGATACAAGATTCATCCGAGTGTATACTTGTTGAAGTTGATATATATTTTGGATATTTATATAGATGTGTTACTTTTATGGTAAAAGTACAACTTTTAAGTTACTCAACAACATCATGTGCTGTCTTCCACAGAAAGGTTGGCTGTCACAATCCTCCACTTCTGTGCTTTTCCCCCCTGGGTCTTCATATTTTTACTATCTCAGTCTGATCTTCAATATTTGTTATCCACTCTGTTCTTGCTCTTCCCCTGTATCTTTTCCCTTCTATTTTAAGTTACTGTAAAGTAATAAGTCTTTCATCAAATAACAATAAGTATGTATTCTATATGTACTGAAGCTGATATTGAGAACAAAAAAAATTGTATTCACATGAAAGTACATTATTGATTATTATTTTGTAAGTCTTGGGTAAATGACATTGTGTTCCACATTTTTTCAGGTTTTGTGCTAATTCTTGACTTTTTAAAGTAAAAATTGCATTTAATAGCAAGTAACATGTGTATTAATATAAGGTAGTAATTTTTACCATTGGATAGTTTGCTATGGTAGCTGATCACAAACCATTAGCAGTGTGCTTACCTAACTGAATAAATAATGATATTTAAAGTGTATGTGTCATGACCTTTTTACTGTTACATTCAAAATTTAATTCTTACTTACTTTATTATCAATATATGTCAGTTAAATTTGGCATCAAAATGCCATTTATAATTACTTAATTTCAAAAGGTAATATTGAAATAAATCGTCTTCATTTCTATGCCATGTGAAGCATCAACATTCTGAATTCATATTTTAGACTTCTTTTTACCCTTATATGTATTTCAGAGTATAATTGTCTATTACAGTCTGTAGTCATTTTAGAAAGAGAATATGTGATTTTATTTAGTATATTTTTTCAGTACATGTTGGTGATTTTGCTACAGTTAGTGTTAAGGTAGAGAAAATAAGATATAAAGTTTCACAAAACAAAACTGTTCACTTAGGAGGTTCTAGAGGTTATACAAATGTAAGATGAAAAGTATTTATTTATTGGGCTGACTCGGTATAAAGGCTTCATAAATTCACAACGAATTTTTAATAAAAAATTCTTTAAGAAAATGGTTTTTGTGTACAACAGACATTTAATGTTTACTAAACATTTTCCAAATTTCATGAAGATGCACCTAGATTTAGTTATAGTATGTATAGTTTTATGAATAAATTGTTGGTTACAAGGTCAGTCAAAATGACTGAGTATGTGCAGAGTTAACCACTAATTATAATATTTGAATTTCTTCACATTTAAATTAGAAAGGTGAAACATTAATGTATGTTTTCATGGAGCTTATGTTAATCCTCTGAGTGTGTCCACATTTGGTAACTTTTAAGATTGAAAAATGTATTGATGACATACATTCTTGACTTGCAGGTGTTGTAGAAGAGTCTCAGAAAGCCTACCAAGAAGCATTTGATATTAGTAAGACAAAAATGCAGCCAACACATCCTATTCGGTTGGGTCTTGCTTTGAACTTCTCAGTGTTCTATTATGAAATACTGAACTCTCCTGACAAGGCATGCCAGTTAGCAAAACAGGTAAAACATTCTAAGAGTATTTTCCTTCTTTCTTGATCTTTAGGTGTGATTGAAGAGTCACAGAAAGCTTACCAGGAAGCTTACGATATTGCAAAGAGTAAAATGCAGCCAACACATCCTATTCGCCTGGGCCTGGCATTGAACTTTTCAGTATTTTATTATGAAATTCTGAATGCCCCCGATCGAGCCTGTCATTTGGCAAAACAGGTAAACGTAAACTGAAACCCATTTGGTTTGATACTAACCATTAAATAACTGCAGCTTCCTGAATGCATGATATTGGAAGGATAATATTCCCCAAAATTGCTGTGTTGTCCATTACTAAAGCCCATCATTTACCCAGTTGCACCCAGCTGCAGATGAAGCAAAATATTTTGCTAAGATACCATGCAATATTAAAATCATAGTTTGTAATATAGTTGGAGTTTTAACAAGTAGAAGAATTTATCTTTAGCTCAAAACTAGTGATTTCTTCATTTTAACTAGTAAAAAATATAAAATAATTTAAATGGAGCTACTTATTGAAAAAGTACTTCAGAATCTTAAGCAAAAATCTTTGTATATATATGTAAAATATTTTCTTAAAGTTATGCTTTCATACTTATTTACATCCTTGCTAGTGTGTGTGTGGAATTAAAAGTTAAAGTACGTATGGGTTCTTCAGTTACCAGTACCCAGTACCATGATTTCATTTAACCCATTCCATATGGGTAGGGGTCAGAGGGCATGTCATCATGTGTGTAGACTTACATTCAAAATTTTATTAAACTACTATTTTATGAATGTATGTCAATAATTATGGTATAGAGTTGTGGTTTGTAATTCAAATTTTAGTATTATACATTACTTAATTTTTTGATTTAAAAGTAAATATATAAAAAAAAAAGCTAAATATCGATTTCTGTGTGTCACGTGGTACATAGTCTTCTTCTTTTGGCCAGATTTTACTTTATACAACGTTTATAGTTTTTTTTTAACAAATTAGAAACTCCAATTACCAATATTGACAAGCTTGAATATAAAATAAGAATGTCCTACCTTTTCTATTTGCTGAGATATTATATTTAACGAATCCACCACACTGACTCTACCCACCTCTTTTGAAAATACTTGTTTACCTATGCCCACTTCTCTCATTTACATGCTTATAATCAATTGAAGATACTCATTTTTAACTACATAATTCTCTCAGTCTTCCTAAAGTACTTGCATGGGTAAAGCTGTCATTGCTGTTGCAGAGTTTCAAGAGTTGGTGACCAAGGTGATATGCTGATCGGAAATGGTGTTTTTTAGACCCAAATACAGCTTAGATAGAAAGACTGATAAATATCACTAGAATGTTGTGGCATTGGTATATTAATTCATATTATATATATATATACATACATACATATTATTTTTTTTTCTTTCTTTCTTTACGTCCTTCACATGTTATATGTGACAAGTCTTAGTAAGGAAGAGACACGAGTACAAATTAACTTCAGAACATCATAAGTAGTAGATATTGTTTTCTGTGTTTTTATCTACTGAAATTTTAGAATGTATTTGTAAATAGTAATAATATGTATACATATGTAATGTATGATAACCAAAACGTGATTGTATTTTCTAAAGGCCAGTTTTATGCTATTTGATACGGTAAAGTGAGCTGCATGTGTGCCGCGTGACTTACAACTTGTGTAGCAGTATTATTAGTCAGATGCAATTCAAAGATTAATAAATATAAATAGATGTATTTAGAATAAACATTTGTGGTTTCCTGTTACAACCTGTAGTCATTCTAGAACAAAAGAAAGAGTACTTTATAGTTCCTATTTTTTTTTATGGTGGTTGCAAGGTCAGTTACTCAACTGACCCCATATAGAGTTACGGTAGAGAAAATAAAATATAAAGTGTTTCTAAAAAAGTTTAATAGTTGTCTAGGAGATTATAGAGATTACACAAAATGAAAATTGATAATTTTCAGATGAAGAAAACTTTTTAATCTTAAAATGAAAATTACTTGGAATATTGGATAGTCAACATTATAAAAGAAAAAATCTGGTGTTATAATACAAAAGTATACTGATAATGTGCGAAATTTTGTGAAGATACTATAAATGTTGTTAAGGTATGCGTATGATCACTCACATGGTTACAGGCTGGTTGCAATGCACCCAGGTCATAGTCAAAGAATTAATCTTTGCAGTTAATTGTAAGAAGGTAGTTTCTTGAAATGAAATAGGTTATTAAATACAGCAACGATACTAAGAAAACCAGTAATACTTCATGGACAAGCAATAGCTTTACATTAATCAGTTATCCCTTTCCAAGAAATTTCTTGTTGTCATACATTACAAACACTTCATTATAGTAATCTTGAATAGATTTTAATAGTATACAGTTTAGTACATTTGTTTGATGTCCAAATGTTTTTGCATAATATGGTTAAGTTGGCTTTAAGCGTAATGCTTTCATGTGGGCATGGCTGAATCTTATTTTCATTTATGGAAATGTGACATGATGTACTTCTACAGTTAACATTAAATGTTACTTTTGTTTGATATTTAAAGTTAGTCTGTGTGTACAATATTTACCACAGGCTAATGGCATTGGACTTAACTTTGACTTAGTTATGTACTGCCTATAAAATCTTACCACCACTGTGTTAATGCATTTCATGAAATAGCATACTTGACTGTAAAATCCTTTGACTACTACCTAACTACTTTGTGTCCTGGCAAGAAGAGATTGATGGTTTGAGAGGTTAGAATTAGCAATGGTATGATTTTGGATGAACAAGTCCATTTTCCTGGTGTCACTACTAAAATTAGCAGTGGTTTTTGTTGTGACAGGTTTTGTCTTGTAACAAATGGTTGTGGTTGAATTCCTAAATGTTGATTTACCATAAAAGCACAAGGTGTTAACTAATGCTTCCTGGACATTTCTTTTAAGGACAGAAATGTCAAAATCAGTTGTATGAAATTAGATAAGTTTTATGTAAGGAAATATTCAGACAGAATGAGTTTTGATGAAATGACATATCAAACAAGATGAGAAATTGATTGTTATGAAAAAAATTTTTAGTCGCAGCATAGTGACTCGGAGAACAGCTGATTTTTTTTTCTCTCTCTCTCTCTCAAGTACAAACTTTTAGCTTATGGCTCCACCATATCTTGACCGATTTTGAGATCAGAAGGTCAAACCCTTTTGGTTGATGTATTTGACTATGCTGAAGGTCTGGTAGATTAATTTACTCTAATCCTGCCTAAAAGAATTTCCTGATGAGTAAAGAAATTGAATTGGGTAAAAGTGCACCCCACACTTGATATTGCTGGCACTCAAAAATGTAGCTAATAAAAAGGAAAAAAGGTTTCAGATTAATTTACTCAAATTTGCCTAAAAGAATTTCATATGCCATGGCTATTGAGGATTTCATCTTGCTTAACATGATTCTCTTTATATTTTAAATATTGTTACTGGCTTCTAAAGTTCTTATCAAGATGTTTTGCTAAATATAGTGTGATATGAAAAAACTTTGATGTTTGTATATAATATTTTTTCACATGCTTAACAGTATAGGATTTTCTTATATTTTATATTTAATACAAAATTTAAAACCAGTATACTGACACACCACCAGTGATTTATAATTCCAAGAAAGCAACCAAGTGGTGAACTTCAGCTAAAATGATACATATTGGTGAAACGTAATTTGAATTTGACAAATATAGTAAGAAATTGTTAAGAAAAGTACAAAACAATTCTCTTAAACATTTTTTATGTTGCATAATTTCACTGTAGGATTTTATTTAAATATGTAAATTAATGTTTTCATCAATAGACAAGGGTTATTTGTATTAATGCTTTGTTACACGTCTTTAAATTATACTTTAATATATCAGCTTTGAATATAGTTGTCCATGATAGGTTCTTCTGAGGGCTAAAAGCTTTCAGTAAACTTTTTAATGAGGTGTTATGTCATGGTATAATTAATCAATGACTCATATTCTTGAGTCTTGGGTGGCAAATGTATTTGTAACATATCAAAGTATGTGTAAATAATATATTTTTGGAACTTTCTGAAATCTTGTGGTGGATTGTTTCACAGAACTAACATGGCATTATAACAGTGATTTAATGTTTTCAGGCTTTTGATGATGCCATAGCTGAATTAGACACACTGAATGAAGATTCCTACAAAGACAGTACATTAATTATGCAGCTTCTGAGGGACAACCTGACAGTAAGTATTATTATAAACATTTATTGTGTTTTTGTACTTGCTACTCACAGGAATTAACTCCAGTATTTCAATGTGTATGGTCCCAAAAATGTTAGTCAGTATCATAATACCTTTGTGTGATGATCTGGTAAGTGTTCTTTTCTGGATTTTACTTTTACAGGCTACTACAGAGGGTTAATCACATTTTATAAACTATTGTATGCTATTACTGTGGTGTGTTGTTACAGTTGTATATTGTTCCTGGTTAAAATCCCGACAATTCAATAATGTGATATTAACACAGATAGAATTAAGGTTGAAAGAGCATTTAGTATCCTTTTCCGAAGAAAAAATATTCAAGTAACAAAATAGCAAAGAGATGCAGATCTATTGCACAACAGTTCCAAAGGTGACTAACGTAGTGAATAGTGTCTGCAAAGGAAAATCGGCAAACCCATATGAAAACATAAAATCACTTAAACAGCATCCCACTATATGCCGGACTGCTATTACTGTTGCCAGAGCTTGCATGCCTAGTTGTACGTGAATCCTCAGCCACCCAGAAAGTGATTGCTAATGAGGTACACGCATTCCATTCAAACATTACAAAGATCTCACTCTTCTAAAGAAGACAAACTGTTTCTCAGATGACTACATGTAAAATACCTTGCATGTACAAAAACAAATTTGCAATACCTAAAGGAGACCTGGGTGTACTTGAAAGACTGACAAGAAAAGGCCAATTTGTCTGGCATCACAACCACAAATTTCTCAGAGTTTGTTGCAAAGGCAAACTCTAGTGTAGCAGAACATAGTAACATGAATTATAGAAAATTAAAATATAAAATTCCTGCACTTTATAACAAATGTTAAGAATTTATAGCTACTTCAAAATAAAACACCAAGCACACGCTTAAGCCTAAGTTCGCAACAACATTCCTTTACTCCTTAGAGAGTGAAACTGGTGTTTGTTATTCCTTCTGACATATCTCTAAGCTCATTTAGTTCACATAAATGTCATCTAGGGAAGCTGATATCTACATACATTTGAGGGATTGTGGAATGTGTTTTTCTGTGATCTAAGATTGGCATCTCTTCTTTGCAGAAGCTCGTTACAATGCAAATTGTTGTCAAGCAAGTGTCTAACCATGATCATCATATCTCTAAGGTGTGATTAACCACTCCATAGGGTAGTATAAATTCAAATCTCTTAACTTAAATACATGAAGGGTGAAATTTATCTTAAATGTTTAAGAAAAAAATAACTTAAAATTAATTTTTGCTTTCAAATATGAAAATTTTAATTATTATTTTTCCTACTCAGTTGTGGACGTCGGACACACAAGGGGATGGAGAGGAACCGACAGAAACACAAGATAATTAATCTCACTTTGGACTGTGAGCATTCCCACCACTGCTACATCTTAAGCCTCAGAGACAAAGCCTTTCATCGTTACAACTCTTACACCACAATTTCTGAAATACTGTTCAGATTTAGTAGTGTTGGAAATCATAAGTTCTTCGACTAAATAAACTTCCCTGTGGTTATGTGTTATTTTTAATATCAAGTGATTCAACCAAGCATGTGTTGTTGGTCCTATCATAAGCACTTTTGCTTGTGCTTGTTGTACATTGTATTATTTCAACAATTGAACATGAGCTTATCTTTTCTTGCAAACTACCACATCAGCATGAAACCACGGGGAAAGTACCATTTCAGATAGCTGTAGTAGTCTTATGCTAATCAATTCATTACAAATCATTGATATGCCAAAACAGTTCTCTGCCTAATTCTTGTTCCTTTGTGTTTGTCAATCTGTATAAAGTGTTGCTAAGTTATTAAAACATGTTGAAAGATGGGATTTATCAGGAGATCCACCAGAGTTTCCAAAACGTAATTTCTTTTGGTCCCTGTCGCTTGTAGTAATTTTTCTAAACTGGTATGTTTTAAAGTTGGCTTGCATAATCTCGTTAACTTGTTTTGTGTTTGAATGTTTCGTTTCTAAGACACTGTGCCTGTCTGCTGTGCACAATCAACACAGAACAGCCTTTTAGACGGTAAAAATTTTTAAACAGGTGACAGCTTTAGAATTTAGCTTCTTAGTGTGGTTTTCTCTGCCCTTCCGTTTTAATTGTCTTTATTCTTGTTTAAAACATGTCATATAGTCACCTGTCTTTTCTGCATGCCTGTTTTATAATTTACTACAATAACAAAGTTGTATAGAAATAAACAGAACTGTAACTATCTGGTTTTCTGTTTGGTTAGTTCATTATCACAGCCACCTATCGAGTAATATTCTACACAAATAATTTAATTAGAAGTACAGTGTTTTATTGAAAAAATACATAAATCGGAAGGTAATGGACTATTTAGAATATTGAAGTGATCATTCCACCCCCACCGTGTTGCACAAGGTTCAACTTTATTTGCTGATGTATGGGTATTCCGAAGTGACTAGAATATTTTATGTCTTACATTGGTACTGAAGAAACGTGTGTTGTTATAAAAATTACTTTTAATAACAATACACTTTTTAAACACCAACGTAAGACATGAATTATTTTAGTTGAACATGAGTTTATACACAGCGTGGTCACAAGTAAAGACACCACCTTTTCAGAAAAAAATGAAAATTTTCAGTCATATTCACATGAATTGATATATTTATAATTTAATTACTATCTAGTAGATCTTCCTTTCGCTTCGTGGAGTTCATTGATCCTTTGGGGCATCGTGAGAAATATCTCGTCAATCTTAGAATGTGG